AGTCCTTTTTAATTTTTTGTGTCGTCATGGAGTTCTTGTAAATACTGTTAAATGTTTTAAATGTGGACAAGATTGTGTGTTAGATTTACAACGGAAGATTTTTAGATGTTACAATACATATAATAAATCAAAGAAAAAAAAAACTAAAATGTAATACTCAAATTTCAATTTTTAAAAACTCTTTTTTTTATCATGTCAAATTACCTTTTGAAAGAGTGTGTGAGTTTGTCAATATATTCTTGCGCGTCCCCATTCGCGGCCGTATGCCATTAGTTATGAAAGAAATGAAAATATCTAAAGTTACGTACGTCGATTGGGCGAGTTTTATGCGAGAAGTTTTCATTGACTATTTAGCTAGACACTCTCGTCCAATCGGCGGAAAAAAAAAACGTGATAGTTGAAATCGACGAGGCAAAATTTGGTCGCCGCAAATATAATCGCGGCCGAATAGTTCAAGGACAGTGGGTATTTGGTGGCGTCGAGAGAAACAATAAGTGTCATCAATTTTTGTGCCAGTGCCTCAACGTAACAAAGAAACGCTTCTGCGAGTTCTTCAAGAATATGTGTTGCCGGAAAGTGTGATTCATAGTGATTGCTGGAAGGCCTACGAAGATTTGAAAAATGAAGGCTTCCAGCATTTCATTGTGAATCACAGTCTTCATTTTGTGGACCCGAACACTGGCGCTCATACTCAAAATATAGAACGTCTTTGGCGGGATTTGCGTACAAACGTGCCTCAGTACGGTCGCCGTGAAGCTCACTTCATTGGTTATCTGGCTGAGGCACGATTTCGTAAAATTTTCCCCGAACCTGGAGAACGTTTGCACCATTTCTGGAAGAGTGTGAGTGTCCTCTACCCGCCGATGATATAAAAATGTGAGTATTTTAAAAAAGTTCTTTTTGTTGTCAATATGTCAATTCAGCTCGTATTTCTTGGTGGTCATAAAAAAAAACCTAACATCGAAGGTCCTTCTAACCTAATCTATCCGAGTCGGATTCGCTGTGTCGGTTCTGTGACTCATTAAATTAAAAAAAAATCGGAATATCGATACGTGTATGATGTCGCCCGCTTCCTATATTTATCATATTGGCAGAACTGTGTATTGAGTTTTTGAAGTCAAACAAATAAAATGGTGGATTTCTTACTACAAAAAACGAGTTTTAAATATTTTTTTTCTCGAAAACTACAAGCGACCGCCGAATTCTGCTTGTTGATTAATTCATTAGAGATTTATCTCTATCGTTTAAAATTTATTTCATTTGAATTACGCTGGAGTTAAAGTTTTTACCTTTACCAAAAAGTGTTTGTCGGGCGACAACAAAGCAGTGTTTTTGCAAGAAGGCACACAGCAAGATATTAATGGATCTTGTCTGTATTTTCTATGGCTGCTAGAATCCATTTTGTCGTCCGAAGTAAAAGATAAGTGGCAATTTAATGCAAGTGGCACAAAAAATCACACTTCGAAGTTCCTTATAACCTCAACAAACACCGTGTGACAAATTACGTATTGACAGTACCACAATGACAGAGGACAGAAGATGACGGACGTACTGTTAATATATTTTTAAATGACTACTTAGGCAAAGGAACTGCTTGCGTATTATGCCTGAGTTTGCACTTACGCCCTTTTGTACTGAGCTGTTTTTGATTATTATTTTTCGTGCCTAAAAAATTTTTTTTAATTAATTCAAAAAATACGTATACCATATTTTTGTATCTATTTTCAATCTAACTTAAAATTTAGGGGTGTTAAGAAAAATAAATGTTGTCAATTAGAGCGTCTTCATCAACCGCTATTCGAGGAACCCTACGAAGAACCTTACACCTACGGTAAACGGTATTCCATCCCTCCTTCGATGAACTATCTTCCCTAGTCCTCTTTCTTTCATTTCCGTTTCTTTCTTCAATATTCATTTCATTTAAGTGAGTATTGTTATTCATTACTTGTACTAAACTCAGCTGAGTTATCTTATCCATAGCAGGTGCGTTGTTCGGCCCGAGCCGATCAGGCACGTGTTTGCACTACACTGTGATTTGTGATTTTGCATGAGCGGTTTGTTTATTACATAGTGAGACACGAGCGCTCCGCACGACGTCCGGGGTACACTACGTCTAATGACTTACCATTACCATGCACCGATATATACACACCGGCACAATTAGCGGAACACAAAAAAAAGCAGGATTTTAAAATCTTTTACTTGAGGAACTGGCCAGTTATGATATTTTTTTAATTTACTGTCAAATTTGAAAATAGAAAATTAGATGACATACACTTTTTTCATTCATTTGTTTTATTTTCCCGAACAATACGTTTTGTCAACTTGTTCAAGTAATAACTACGTAATTGTAATTTTTTTGAAAAATTGCACTTAATGGTTTTTTATAAATTTGTTATTCTATAGGCAATTTTGTTTATTAAAAGCTCTTTATTATGCCTCACTTAACATCACTGGAAATCATTAGGGCTGATGAAATGAGAAGTAATGGCCATACCTACAGATCGATTGCCTCAAGGCTTCGTCAACCAGTATCAACGATTCATCGCAGCATCCAGTGGTACAGATCGTCTAATTCTCTTGTGAGGAGGAGGGGTCAAGGTAGAAAAAGATGTACATCGAGGCGAGATGACAATTTTTTACAACTTGGAGTTCGTGGGAATACGCGATTAACGGCTGTACAAGCTCGAAATGAACTGGAAGACGTTCGAGGAGTACGAGTAAGTGAGTGTACAGTTCGCAGAAGATTTGAAGAAGTTGGTTTAGGGTCGTATATACCTGCGAAAGGCCCAAAACTTGAGAGACGTCACCGCGTAAACCGATTAAGCTATGCGCGAGAACATCGTCATTGGGATTTGAACGAATGGCAGCAGGTTCTCTTTACTGATGAGTGCAGAGTTCTTTTAAAACAGATCGATGGGAGACAGCGAATATGGAGATGCAAAGGAGAACGCCACATACAGTCTAATTTTCAACACACAGTGGCTTATGGTGGCGGCTCGATTATGGTTTGGGGAGGGATATGTTTTGGAGCTCGCACGGATTTAGTGATAGTCACAGGAGGGACCATGACAGCAGATAGATACATCAGAGGCATTTTAGAAGAACATGTTGTACCATTTGCCCCATTTATTGGTGACGACTTTATTCTAATGCAAGATAATGCTCGTGCTCATAGTGCACAATCGGTACAGGCATATCTGAGCCACGTAGCTATACCGGTGATGCAGTGGCCAGCAAATTCCTCCCATATGAATCCGATAGAGCATGTCTGGGACTTGCTAAAAATAAGGGTTAAATCCAGAATGCCACCCCCCAACAATCTGAATGAACTTGGAAACGCATTACTTGAGGAGTGGGAGCGGTTGCCTCAAGAAATCATCGATAACATAATCTGTAGCATGCCCAGACGAATGGAAACCGTAATCAGAGCAAGAGGGGGAAACACTCGTTATTAATTTTGCTTTAATTTTATTGTTAAATCATTTAATGCTTACTTTTTTTTATTTTTTGTGATGGTTAATAATCATCTAAAAATTTCACTTATTTCAAATTTCTTTATTTTTCAATAAAAAATAACGAATACTTTTCAATGTCGTTGTTAAAAGATGTTAATCAATTTGTTATTTTGTGTCTAATTACATTTTCGTCAAATATATGCGTTATTATCTCATAGTCTCACTTTTTTTTCTGTTCCGCTAATTGTGCCGGTGTGTATATTTTATACTTAATAATTGAATCTAAAATTTAAAAACTATAATTTAAACAAAAACTGTTATTGTGACTCAACTATAATAGTTAGGCATACACTATCACGGACTTTTTTGTTAGTAATCATGAGAACTATTAATATATAGAATATTATTTTATATATAGTTAATAGATTTCGCAACGCATGCAAAATAATGTCTTTTATAGGCAAACATTTTGATACCTTGAGTTACATTGTTCCATTTTAGGTAGGGGTCTCTAATTTTTTGAAAATGTAACATAGCCTATGTTTTGGTAAAGTTTCTAATGGTGAAAGAATTTTTAAAATCGGTCCAGTAGTTTTTGATTTTATTCTTTATATTCAAAAATACAAATCTTTCCTTTTTATAATATACTATAATAATAAATATAGAAGACTGCACTTCGCGGCCATCCTGAAAACATAGCCGACGCCCTCACACCGTCCTCTCCGCCCCCGTGAACACAAACGAGCCCCAGAAGCCGAAAATACAACGGAAGCGTTCGCCGAACTGTTGCGGAAATAAATCCGCACAATCCCAGATACCGTCACCTCGCCGCAACGGCGATGGATCAAACCCCGTTGAGCGCAATTATTTACACTATAACCACAATGCTCGCCGAGCATTACGGCGAACACTGAGATTCACCCTAACAATGTGACGTCATTTTAAATTACGCACTAAATCCATCACGCCTTTAGGCCCCAACCACCGGGAGTTCAGAGTGGCTCCCGAGAAGAAGCCCGGGTCATGAGCGACATAATCCCCGAACCCGTACCTGCATGCCTCTAAAGTAGAAAACCCTGACGACACTGCGAAGTAGACGATGACGGCGAAGTGAAAATAGTGTTCATGAAGTCTGTTGATGATACAGGAAAAACATTCCATTTAGTAGATAATGTTGTATCATATCAAAAATATGACAGTATACATAACATTATATCGATTAATCGCATATTATATCGATATATAATCATATATTATATCGATTATATCAAAAAATAAGTCAATTTAAATTTAATTTGATCTCGGCAATTTAATTGTTTTTTTTTAGTTTTATTCTATACTTAGCTAATAAGTACCTACCCAGTTCCTAAATATATTATTGTTTTAATTTTTTAAGTTATTATTAAATATGAAAGGTTTTATGATACTAGTTCGTTAAAATTAATATAAAAGGTACAACTGTAGACTGATAAACTCTCTCAACAATTTAATTATTTATTTGAACTCAAACTTCGATGTAAGAACACAATACAAATGTAACTAGGGCGAATGCAACGACCAGAAAGCGTTCATACAAGACAAAGCACTTCTGTTCGCTTGCGCGTTCCCTATTAGTCCATCGGTCCGGCTAGTTCCACGAGATGCGGAAGCGTCGCCGTACGCAACAGAACTGCCTCTGCCAGCCACTGCCCGCTTGTATAGTCGACCGCTATCGTAGTGTGCGTTGCTGTAGCCGCGCGTTAGAGCGCTGTAGTACGCGCGCGTAGGGTATTTGAAAACAGTGTTCATTTACGTAATAAGGTCACCTCAACACTAAACCGCACTACTGAATGTCGTCCATTTAGAAGCAATTTAGAAATAAACTTAATATTTAGGGAACTGTATACGACTTTTATTTGATGTACACTTCGAAGAGTCCCAGACCCAAAGAGCAGTAATTTTAGCTGGGTTAAAGAAAAGTCTAAAGGATTCTTTAGAAAAAAACCTAAATAACCCATAATCTATTTCGTAAAGATAAGATATAAGCATAGTTCTAAAAGAAACAAAAATAATTGAGAACACTGCTAACGACCTTAAGAAGCCTTTAAACAATTAGGGCCCGTCCTTACACATAAAGCTGGGGGGCGGGCGAAACAACACCAGAAGACCAGCACAATAGAAACCACTTCAGCAAAAGTCCACTCCGAAGTCACAGCAGCACTAGCAGGATTACCAGAAATTGATCTATTTGCCTCTAATGATAATAAAAAAATTAAAAAACTTTGTGTCTTGGAAAATTGAACCAAACTATTTTTCAGTTGATACCACAATGGAGTGGACAAAACTAAAATTTTATGCATTTCCACCTTTTTCTATGATAATGCGTTGTATATATATTATATTGATTGAATTATTGATACAATACCGCGCGAAATTATCTGTTATAAAAGCGCGTAACGTAATTTAAAAAATATTCTGGGAAGGAACGTGCCAAACTTTCCTTGTGATTTTCGTATTTACAGTTATATAAGCAGGGCCTGTCCACTTTGTTCTTCGAACAGAATGTATGAGGGCCAGAAAACAAGAGAGAGACAACGATATCAAAGTAAAGGAGATGAATTTAGACATTTATATGATGTTGCCACCAAAAATACAACTTCGTATTCTGCATAATAATGACTTAAAAATTGATTTTTAATGTAAAATACCCTCGAAGATATCTTTGCTATTGTTCGGGTTTCGAAACAAATATACTTTATTAATAAATATAGCATATTTAACTGATAATTACATAATAAAAAAAAATATTTGGGGATATTGATTGGCATTGGCTGGCAACAATATATATTATTATGACGTCATGACGTCACAAGGTAGGATAGGAAAATGTCCGTCGCGAGCGCACCATTTTAACTTGTTTGTACCAATGTTTATTTGCAATAAATAAACTAGTTCCATTTGATTTTACATACATTAGTAGCGTTGAGTTGAGCCTCCTCCTCCGCGGCTGTGTTTTGGTGAAATTAAGTGTGTATTTGTGAGACATAGTCTCGGTGTATGGTTAATTTCGCGATGATTATTGACTTCGCAGAAAGAGAACTCTAAAATATGTCACATGTGTGGATCTTCGCCATCTAAAGATCCCAGCGTCACTTTATTTCGGTTCCCAAAGCCTGGCTCAAACAATGCTCTGCGGTATGTATGTACCTACTTCTGTACTTTCAATGCTATTAGTTTTAAACGACTTGGAATTAAGAATAACACACCACAACTAGTGTCAATATATTTGATTTGATAGCCTTGCTTAAGTATTAAGCTTTGCAAAATGGTGTTCGGTTGCACTTAATTTCAAAGCCGGGTAAATGTAAATAACTTTAACTATGGCGTAATTCAATTAAAATAAGTTAGTTTTAAACGATAAAGAAAAATCACTAATGAATTTATCAACAAGCAGAATTCGGCGGTCGCTTATAGTTTTCGAAAAAATAAATAATGAAATAGTGTGATTTTTACTATAGAAATCCGCCATTTTTTGTTGTCAATATGTCAATTCTGCTCGTATTTCTTGGTGGTCATAAAAAAAATAACCTAACCTCGAAGGTTAAGGCGGGAGCTCCGCTCCCGCCTGAACCTTCTAACTTAATCTATCCGAGTCGGATTCGCTCTGTATCGGTTCTGTGACGCATTAAATTTAAAAAAAATCTGACTATCTATACGAGTATGATGTCGCCAGCTTCCTATATTTATCATGTTGGCAGAACTGTGTATTGAGTTTTTGAAGTGAAATATATAAAATGGTGGATTTCTTAGTAAAAATAACAAGTTTTAAATATTTTTTTCTCGAAAACTATAAGCGACCGCCGAATTCTGCTTGTTGATTAATTCATTAGAGATTTTTCTCTATTGTTTAAAATTTATTTTAATTGAATTACGGAAGAGTTAAAGTTATTTACATTTGCCAAAAAACAACCCTTATGAACCCCAAATTTGGGATGCGAATTTAAAATGCCCACCCGGAATATGATTATTATGATATGTCATGTTCATATTTTTTAATTTTCAGGTGTGAATTATGGGCAAAGTTTTGCTTCCCACACAGGTCTTCACCAAAGTTCCAGGATGGACTGCATTCTAAACATAAGGTGCTTTGCAGCAAACATTCTAATAGCACATGCTTTAATGAGAAGAAGTTGTTCAGATCAGCTGTACCTGATGTTCAATCCCAAGGTTGGTGCAATAAACAATTAAAAAGTTTATTTAAAATACCTTTATTACAGAGAAATACGGACATTATGTTGTAAATAAGGGGCACTATACAATTATTTTAAATTTATACACTTTGTTACTTTTGTCAATGTATGATATCCCATAAATCCACATCTCTTTAGGGATTTGAAAGTTATGATGGAATAAATAAACTTATATACATACATGGACCCTGAAAACATAACACTCCATTTTTTTTGGCTGTCGTGTGAAAAAAACTCATTTTGGATTGTAAAATATTAGTAAGAAAAATTAAAACTGCTGATGCCAAAACTGTTCTGTGAGTACTAGTTGACTTTTTATATTAACAATCAACAAGCGGTGTACTTAAGTTTTTCTTATTTTCTTTTAGAATACAGCACTAATCTGCCTGAACAATCTGCAGTGTTTAAACCAGTTGCCTGTTTATCCAGAATTTACCCCTTAACCCTGTAAGTGCATAACGTTCGATAAATCGGACGCCAATAAAATTGTTATTTTAGGAGTTATATTATATTTTACTAACCGTTTATTTTTTTTAAACAGTAGTGTAATATATATTTGGAGTGGTAATACTGTTGGTATGACATTCCGGCAACGCGCCTGCGCGTCAATTGTCAATTTGAAAAATGGCGGCACGCGGTCAAAATTTTTTGCGGCGAAGGTAAGATTATATTGTGTTATTGTTATATTTTGTTTTGTTTTATGGGTAAAAAACGGATATTTTGCTTGCTAAACCATTACACTATTTATTTTCAATATAATTTTTACGTGGCCCCTGTCATTTTGAAGGCTATGCTTGCTAATTATGTACTGTCCGATATATCGCACGCTATGCACGGCGGGTACTGTATGTGGTGTTTTCTCGAATTGTTACAGCTTGCAAGTTCATGAAATATTATCTGCTTTGGAGTGTGAGGAGTATGATAATTGTACAGAAAATATAATTTACGTTGAGCCCCCTATTGAGCATGCCGATCAGGTCACTGATGAAGACAGTGACAAGTCCGACGAGGAGCATGGTGCGAACCTAAATCACTTAGGACGAAGACTGCTGCAAACTAGCTGCGAGGTGATACAATTGTTTCTATTTCATCAAAGTCTACAGCCTTCGGTTCAAATACGCAAAGATCGTCAAATGATAATTCTTTATCAAGTAGCGATAGTGAAGACGAGCAGCCCCTTTCTAATTTCATTTCCCACAAGTCATCAAGGTCTGCACCCCCAGCTAAAAAGAAAAAATCTACACATTGGAAAAAAGAGGAACCCGCTTTTATTTGTACTGAATATCGTCCACAGCCACCATCAGATGAAAGTAAAGCATGTCAAAAGATTGCATAAATTACGTCCTATTATTGAAAGTCTAGGTGAATCATTCCAAAAACACTACGGAATGGATGAACAGTATAGCATAGATGAAAGCATGATCCCTTACTATGGGAAACACTACGCTAAACAGTTCATCCGTGGAAAGCCAATAAGATTTGGTTTCAAAAACTGGCAATGTGTGCAAGTACCGGATATATGGTAGCTTTCAGCTTATACACGGGAAAGAGTACCGAAAAAAAAGATTTTGGACTAGGTGACGATGTTGTTCTCAGACTAATTAGATTGAGCGAACTTCCGCCTAATAGTGGCATAAAATTATTTTTTGACAATTATTTTACATCTTTGAGCCTAATGAGACACCTGAAGGAGATCGGCTATTATGCTACGGGAACCTTGAGAGCTAATCGCACTGAAAACTGTACTGTCAAAGACGTAAAACAATTCAAGAGGGAAGCGCGAGGTCATTACGATTACCGATTAGCTGATGATGTCTTCGTATGCCGGTGGAATGATAACAATGTTGTCACAGTAGACACTAACTTTGGAAATCTTGCAATTACATCTGCAACCCGCTGGTCTAACGAAAAAAAAGCTAAAGTGCAAGTCCCCATCACTTATTTCAAATTACAATAAGTATATGGGTGGAGTAGACAAATGCGAACAGGCCGTGGCAAACTTACGAACTCGGATGCGAATAAAGAAGTGGTGGTGGCCCATATTTGCATATTTAGTAGACGTGTCGGTAGTAAACGCCTGGTTACTTGCTCGGAAGAATGGCTGCACGAGAGACACCGAGTCCTTATTCTTTTTTAGACGGTTCATAGCAAGAAGCTTGCTTTCCACACATGGCATACCGCCGCATCAAGGCCACAAGCCAGCAAAACAGCAAAGTCGTACTTTTATTTTCATATCTTTTTAACATCTACAGTGTCCGCCGTGCATAACGTCCGATTTATCGGACGGGCTATAAAATCTAAACTTTCATATTGATTAAATATTTTATATAATTTAATGGTCAAATACACTCGAAATGAAAATATATTACAGTGATCATAATGAAAAAGGCGTTAATAAACTTTATGCACTAATGGGTTAAGAGAACATAATGCCAATATCATCACTCCAACAAGTTCATAAATGTTTGTGCGTGACTCCTCAAATCAAGAAGGTGGTTCTTGTGAAAGCAAATTATTGATAAAGAAACTGAAAAGGAGTATGAACAAGGTATATTGTTCACAAAAAACTGTAAATCTTTTAAAAAATGAAGCGTTTTTAAATTTTACTTGTAACAGTAAAACAGTTAAAGTTTGTGAGCAACAGTGCCCCATAATTACTAATTTTAAAACATTTCAGTCGCCAGCCATAGACGTGAATGTAATATAAATTTTTTTACAGACCTGTAAAAAATCTCTTACATCGCCTCAAAGAATTTATTAGATTGTGTAGAAAAAAGTGCTATTATAATATAATAAATATAAATTATGACTTTCTTGAACATTGCATTTTGCACAAAGACTTACGATAATAAGTTACATAATAAACAGTGCGTTCCATATTAGCATTAAGATATACCGTATATTAAAAAACAGAATGTATTCTGAAGACCCGTGTAAATCTGCACTACAAAGAAAAATTAATTATGCATGAATAAATGCCATCTAAAACAAGAAATACATATATATATATATATATATATATAAAACTCCATAACAAATAGCTGTGAGATCTGTAATGATTAGGCGCTCAATGCAGGACTTAACATTGTATTGATTAAAATACTTTATTGTCAAAATTGCATTCAATAGTAGATACATAGTGCAAGCTTACACTATGAAAGGTAAACTGTATTTTTTATTTTGCGTGAAGATGTCTGAAATACTTAAACTGAAAACTTTCTGTACTTTCAAATTTTCTGCATAGTGTCATTTATATTCTTTATTGATCTAATATTTACAAGATTAAATCTATCTAACATTACATATTATCTAATAAACCCAATCCACGCGGCATTTATATTCTATTTTAAAAATTTTATTTTTACTTGTGTTTAAAATTTGCTGACTTTTGAGATTCATTATCATTACACCCACTTACTTGTGATTTTTGTACCAAATTTCTGGTAATGAATACAACTCATGTATGAATTCATGTAAATGTATGTCTGTTATAATATATGTTACATAAATGAATATCTCATATATTGTATTTATTAATATGCTTAATAAAAAAAGTGAAGTACCAATTCATTCGTTTTTTTTTTGTTTAATTAGACTGCTCTCTAAAGATGAATAAATATAGCAATTTATGCACAAGTATACTGTGTTACAAACGCATTGTGCTTGTGCATAAAATGCAACGCCAAGTATCTTTAAAATTACTAGTATGAAATTCCCGCCCTAGCATTTGCTCACTAGTTCTTTTGGGCAGAACACAGATGGCGACGGTCGGTAAGAAATAAATTCCTCCTAAAATTTGTATGGAGCCGTCATTCTTCTCTTTGAGTAAAAGTGTTCTGTGGTTATAAGGCACTGGTGCAATTTGTAAATACTTTATTCAAACAACAAAGAACTAATACTGGCATATGCCTTACAAAATTAAACCAAACTTAGGAAACTTCGAGAATAGTGAATAGTCGCGGGGGAATACAATGTACCTACATGTCCTTTAGATACGACGCGTGCGCGCCGACTGGTGACGGCGGGCCCCCGGCAGGGCCTCCTGCCGGGCCGTCGGGACTCAAGTCCCGAGCGTCCAATGCCAACGTTTTAAAAACCTCCGCGCGTTACACAGTTACTGTAACAATGGTACAGCCCCGAAACAATATCTGTTGCACGGCTGGAGTTAAGTGACAGGTTGCAGGAACGGTTTAAAAAAACTTTATTTTATGTAGAAACCGAGAATGATGTTCAAGCTCACTGAGGACCAGCTAAGGTGGTTTATGTGTTATAAGGGGCGTTTTTAAGTTTTCCTTAATTTCTTCACTTTTCTGTGATATTTTATCTAATTGATCCAGCTGAACATTTTGTATCTTTAATGTATGAGAGTTATTCACAGATTCGTACAATCTTGGTAAATGAATGGTTTCTTTAAAGTTTATATGTTGAGAGTTTCGAGTGTTCTTCCCAAAATTGAAACTTGGCACTTGTTCCGTACTGGAACAAGAGTAGTTTAATTCATATAGTTTTCATATTCCTTCTAAACATATTTAATAAGATGACACAATTTGGAGTACCTAAATGCTATTTACTTATTATTATTTTTCTTCACTGGGTTGGCGATCACCGTTATATCTGAATTCAATCGTTAACGTGTGAGTTACGGCTACTACTAGCGCCACACAAACTAGCGGCAGTCAAGACAGTGAACGAGTCGAATTGCTGTCACCGCCGCGTACGCACCGAAGCTTTTGCGTGCTACTACAATATATTCTTCCCGAGATCTCTTTCACCCTGGAAGTACTGTGCTCAGTGACCTATGGTCCCTTGTGCGATATATTCTGCGGGATTCTAATATCTGTGCTGTGCCGACTTGCCCGGGCTCTCTTTAGCCAACTCCATGACACGAGGTTGCAGGAGGACTGTTGTGGTAAGTCGCCTAAGCCCAGTAGAATATCGTGCAGCACTTATTTGTAACTGTAAATTTTCGTTATTACTTTCCGAAGCATTAGCATTACTACTGCTATCACTAGCCTCACTTGCAATACTGTACAGGGATGTACCAATGAATGATATACTCATATTTCTTATTACCTCTTCGAGTTAAAAGAGATTGTAGATAATGATAGGTTAAAGTTTAAATGGAGATACCATTTAAGAACCTATCATTATCTAAAATCTCTACAATCCGGTACGGACCATTAAACTTTGGTACTAATTTATTTGACCTAATTACGTGTTTCTTATTATAAATCGTTCATTGTACTCTAACCAAATCTCGTATTTTGTACCTGGTTTCTTATGGTAATCAAAATTTACTTTAGGCCTACGCTGATCGTTTTCTATACGGTCCTTAATATTCACCCTACGACGTTCTACGACTATAATAGAATATCGGCCTAAAAACTTCATCGATCTCCCTATGAATTAATATTCCCGCTACGACTAATATGCAAGGATCGGTGTGGAGTTTGGACTCCGAAGTAACATATATATCATATAGCGCCAGAATTGGTCGTTCTACAAGCTTTTGTTTGAGTTACTCAAAAGAATTCCTACAATCTTCGTCCCATTTCCAAACAAAATTTGACTTCAACAAGTCAGTCAAAGGACGAGCAAATCTTTAAAAATCGTCTAAAGTCGTCTAAAAAATAGCAAGACCTATAAAACCGAATTTACCCGTAAAACATCCTTTTCCATAGTCTTTTTGCTAGTTCTTTATACATTTTCGAAATTTGCATATTTGCTCATAAACATCCGGCCCTCTTTAAAAGTAATTTAGAAATAATCGAAATAGTAGATTCTCGAACAAACTACACATGCCTCCACATCGTACCACAATGTTCAGCAAAAACTGTTATTGTATGGCCATTAGAATATATAATAAATTACCAAATAGATTAAAAACTTTGAATTTAAAATTGTTTAAGCGAAATCTGTTTAACTTTTTGATAAGTAAATGTTACTATTCCACAGGGGATTATTTAAATGATAAAATTTTATGAAACAGTTTTCCTACATTATATTTACTTTTGTTTTTTTCTTTTTTTTTGTATGTTTATAATGTAAAATGAAATATTTGTACACCAGAAATGGTAAAACATAAAGGATCCACAGCTTTTAAGACCTATATTGTACTATGTTCTAACAAATAAACGTATCTTTCTTTCTTTCTTTCTTGTCGGATCTGTTGTCATCGTTCAAGGGTAGTCTCGAACAGTTTATAGTTGTGTGCCCTAATTTATTGCATATGCATTTTAATATTGTTACGAGTTAGGGTTCGAAGGATTTGCAGAGAAAGACCTGATGACTCTTTTGAAGACTTTATTCACTAGGACTAGGTCCAACACAAAGCACTAGGTCCAAACACTAAGCCCTAACGATGTCCTAGGTTGTAGCCAGGTCGTAGGTTTCGCTGGTATCGCTCTTGATCACTAGTTTTTACTTCGAAGTCGCCTTGAAGATAGCTCAAACTGAACTGAACTGGCTCGCCTCCCTGCGGCTTTTTATATAGGCCTTCCTGGAACGTACCCGACTCGCACGAACGTGATCGTGATTCTGGAAAGTTCGCGAATGTACCCGGTTTTCCAGTTTTATATAGTTCCACAGTAGTTCCTCTAACGCCATCTAGTATTGAGTAGGGGGTTTCATGTTGGCTTTGTTCTTTGAGTGGTTTTACTGGTTGACGCTAGATGGTGCTAGTTTCTTTGTGCTTTGTGTGTTCGTAACACTACTCCCCTCTTAGAGATGCTGGTTCCGAGCATCGTTGTTTAGTAACAACGATGCTTGGGCCGAGCCATGGTAACGCGCCAGACGGTATATGTGTACTACTTTGAATGTCCCTCTTGGTTGCTTTTGAATCCTATAGGTCACATCATTCAGTGGGGTAACCACTTTGTATGGACCGTCTACTTGGTCTGCAACTTTGGAAATTTCCCTTTCCGGCGAGTTGGGTTCTGCAGCCACACCAATGAGCCTTCCTCGAAGCCGCTCGTGTTCGATTTCCGGTCGTATCTGGTTTTCATGTTCTCACTTGACTGTAACCCATTTTCCCGAATCGGCGTGTATATAGCGTATTTTTCCCTTAAATCGCAGACATAGTCTTGTACGGTCTTTGGTCCCTCCGGTGACCTTCCTGTCAATAGATCTACTGGTATTCGTAGTTCTCTACTGTAATTGACAAACGCCGGGGTAGCTTTTATGCTCTCATGTTCGGCGGTTCGGTACGACAGAAGGAAGAGTGGTATATACTTGTCCCAATCCTTTTATTTGTCGTCCACCAATTTCGCCAAATGCCTCTCAAGGGTCTGGTTAAATCTCTCAACCATTCCATCAGACTGTGGATGGTACGCGGTGGTCCTCATCCTATGCATGCCCAAAATTCTGCACACTTCCTGGAATACTTGCGATTCGAAGTTCCTGCCCTGATCAGAATGGATTTCTACATATCACTTCTTCGACTAACTTAGAAGCGACTGTTGTAGCTTCTTGGTTTGGTATGGCGAACACTTCGGGCCATTTGGTGAAGTAGTCCATGATGACCATAAAATACTTGTTTCCCGATTCCGTTATAGGAAGTGGCCCAGCTACGTCAACTGCAATTCGTTCCCACGCAGGTTCCCACGGCTCTTAGTCTGTGGTCCTTTTACAGCAGTGCTAGTACATTTGCGGCACCAATCCTGTACATCATCTCGACAATGCAACCAGTAGAATCGTTCTCGCACTTTTGTTAACTTCCTCTTGACACCTAGATGACCTCCTGATACGCCATCATGTATTTCACGGAGAACATCTGATACTCTCGTTCTTGGGACAATTATCTGAAGATGAAACTCTCTGCCGTTAGTCTTCTTCCATTTTCGGTAGAGTATTCCGTTTTGAGGTATCAGACTGTCCCATTGCGCCCAGTACGCCTTAGTGACAGCGCCAGTGAGTGCAACCTCACTCCAGATTGGTTTTACGTCACCTCGTTTCTTCCATGTGATGATGTGCCGAAGGTCGTCATCTCTTTCTTGAGCCTCCCTCATAGCATCATTCTCCCAGAGACCCAAAGGATTTGTTCTCGTTAGCTTTAATGTTACTTCATTAGATTCCTGCTTAACACAATGTTTGCAGTCTTCCGAACACGACCTTCGTGAGAGTGCGTCGGTATTCCCATGCGTCTTTCCGCTGCGGTGTTCCGTCTTGAAGTCATACTCTTGGAGCTGTTCAATCGATCGAGCTACTTGACCCTCTGGGTTCTTGAATTGCAGCAGCTTCTTCAAGGCTGCGTGATCAGTTCACAGTAAAAAATGTCTGCAGATGAGATATTTGTTGAAATGTTGTAGCGTCTTTACAACAGCCAAAAGTTCTCTTCTTGTCACACAGTAGTTTCTCTCTGGCTTGAATAAAGATTTGCTGAAATATGCAATAACAACTTCTCTTTCACCCTGTTTTTGAGATAACACCCCTCCAATGGCCGTGTTGCTTGCATTCTGTATGAACGATTGAACACAATTCCTACCGGAAAACTTAATTTTTCCTATTTCTGCCGCTATGTTCCGTTCGCGACTGTTACACTGGATCACAGGTGTTTGATTAATTTCTGACGACAATGGTAAAGCTTTCGGTTTCAAGGACAACAAATCCCTGTATTGATTTCTAAAAATAGCATAATAATTTTGATAGACCTCGTTAGATTCTGAAGTGTCGCAAGTTATACGATTCATTCTGTGGTAGATCTGGTTCAGAATTGTTTCAGTTCTACAATAAAGATTTTTATCAAATTTAGACTTAAGGGAAGTTATGTTATTTCGTGATTTTAATAGTTTCTTTTACGCCTTTAAGATTGAGGGATATGTATGGTCACTTCTGTGTCCGTAAGCGCCAGCGTGGGCAAGTCCTCAATAAAAGCACACACTGGATAAAACTGTTTATTAGTTATATTAGCCATGTGGCAAATTATGGTTACACAAGCAATACACTATATGATGAAACATCAGAGCAATATAGTACCACAAATGATATGGGAATATCCCACAAGTTAGAAAATGCTCGTATAATTACGTGTCCATTGTTCCTCTCTTAAACTCTGTCTATGACATGTCGTCTCTATTCCGAACTCGCGTTCCG